CGAATAGTTTGGTGCGGTCCGTCTTCCAGGACGGAGTATCCACGACCCACTTGCGCTCTGTTGGAAATGTTGCAAGGAATGGTAGCTAATCAATATCATTGGAGCCAATGCTGTCAGTTTCTCTACAGAATGCTCCATTGAGCGTTTGTGGAGCAGGAATCTCAGTAGCTTTCCCAGAGAATGGAAGACAGACTGATTCTTGTAGGAAGATTGCATACCCATTGGTGGTTTGTCCAAGCTTTTCTCATAAACAGAGAACCTGATGTGAATCCTTTACGCACTGGTCGATGTCATTCCTTTCGTCACTCCAATTTTTACGTCTTCATGTAGCGCTAAATGGTTGAAAATATCGACCATACATTAAAGCATAGAGGTTACGAATGTATAATTGCATATCTGTTTATGTACTATTTTTTTGTATATCGTTGATATACGCGTCGTCTTCAAGAACTTGTCACTATTTGCTCGCTGACGATCCTCCATAGCGAGCACGACTCACCTGCTATGAGCATAGCACTGGTGTGAGTACATGGGTATTGACTGTACAGTAGACTGTCGTCTGCTGGTAGTCTGCCTCCAGTTAAGGACGAGAGACCTCAACATTTTTTGGATGCAGCCAATGCTTTCCTGGTTACCCTGCTGTGGGATAAACTACAAACGGACACTTCCATTGAAATATTTTTATTCTGACTGCACACATTACTGGAGTGATTAAGCAGTCATTTAGCCATTTTAGACCCAAACGTGTAGTTCAGTAATGACACCTTTTCAACTACCTAACCGATGTAGTGCATTCCACTCTGTTTTATTCTGTTTCAAACATATACGCGAAGTTTCATCCATCTCCCTTTTGGTCGGCAAATATCTCCCCATTCTCCTGAATTCCCACCTTCACTAATGATATATCAGCATGCACGCTTTCCGGTTAGTTGTCGCTCATAATGAAGTCAATCCAAACTGATCAGGCAACACTGTGAACACGCCTCTTCTGCCCAAAATGTGAACGTGAAACTGATTGGAATGATTTCTTTTTTGTTAATACGTGACAACGAACGCCACTTTTATGTATCAGTTGATCCTTCTTATTGCTCTGTTTGTCTTGTTTACGAGGCTTGCTGTCACTTGACTTTCGTGTTGTCAGTTTCTTTCCAGGTTGTCTGATTGAGCGCCTGGAGGTGTTGGCATCTCACAATGTTTAACATAGTCCAGCGCTACGTTCCCTTCCTCACCCACCCTTTTTTCCTTTTTTCACTCCGAGGGTGTGAATGTACTTAGATGAGCTCTACGGTAGTGAAGCATCAGTTTCAAAACTGATGTTGCTGTTTCTGAAGATGATAATGATGGTTCCGAGTTAATGCTAGGAAAATGCGGGATTTCCTTCTTGGTAAATACGAGTTTAAAATGCTTAATTAAAGAGACAATAAATAAGGGTCCTATCAAAATACTAACCAGAGTGAGGAAGTAATCGCGGATCAGGCGAACTATTCACCAACATTGCAACAGCTCACCCCCTTAGGTGATAACACTGTACCAAGGCTTTTCAGTGCATCCCTGTCCAGCTACAAGTAATTTGAAATGTGGCAGCTTATGTCAAATTTCTAAACTTGGAAACTTCCCTTCTGAGTATTGCTACCGTCGGGTTAGACGTAGTCGTTCTAGACTCCATGTTATGGATTCGTGGACGTTTCTCCCCAAGCAATTTAAGCCTGACCAACTCCGAAAAATGGCTTAACTTAAAATATTTTGAAGCCCCTAACATCTTTCCAGGCAGCCGACAATTTGTTGCCTGGTTGACAAATATGTTTCTTTTTTTACAGTACCTTAAGTGTGAGGAGAGACCCAGCCTGCGGTAAGTTGAAGCGAATATATCAGACAAAATTAGCCGAAGTTTCAACACCATCCTCACTGTGTCAGTTTTGTAGTGACAAACACTATTTAACCTCAGACTTGCGGTGTAAGTAAAAACTTAGTTTTATTCGCCCACTTCCAAAGGTTGTCCAGAACAAGGTCACCGTCGGGATGATTGACGATGCACACTATTGTGGATCAGTTAAAGAAGGCAGCCAAATAGGGTTGAAACCCGTCTCTCAGAAAAACTCAAATGGGATTAATGAACTTTACTAATCGGTCAGCTGTTTAAGATGGCACTCATCCAGTGTACAAACTTGCTAAATTGTGATCATATGGCACGGCCTTAGTATGTAAAATCAAAACTACCGTTTTCAAGCTTCGTTTTTGATATCTCTTCTGCTCTTCTAACAGAAAACAGCTTGTCAAGATTTCGTCCTGTAAGTGAAGCCAGTCTCTGCTGAAAAGCCGAGAAGCACTGTACAGCTGTTTCATCCTTATTGGAAATCATAAGCAGTGCGCATCTCACGGAAGGAAATTAAACCAAACGGCTTGTTTGGTTGAATTTACTCAAGAGAATATCACACTACACCAAAGTCTAAATTCAGAGTTTATTGACAGAGGAGGGTTCCATTGACCAACTGCCAAAGGCTTTTTTGGGACAATTTATTCGGCCACCCTCCAACTTATTGAAACAACTTTACGCGGTTAAGAATTCATAATAGTTTGGAACTGTGTACAGACAACCACTGTTAGGCGCTGTTGATCGACAATTGCTTCGGGCATACAAATCCTCTGTGTACTGCATTTAAACAAGTTGACAATTAGTGAAAAGGGTGATGTGGGTTCGTCGTGCACGTCTTGAAAAGTACACGCTCAATCGTTTTGAAAGTGCACGAGAAATACTCTGCTATTTTAGTAAACATTTCTAAAGCACCAGCCTCTTGTAATTTAGTTGTAGTTTTGGAAGTAGATAGTTTTTATGTGCTCAAAAACTACCATCAAAGTAAAATCGACGAAAGATAGCGATTTGTGCGCTTCTTTCAAATTCCGTATTGTAATACAGAGACATAAGCGTCTGCTTACCAACCTTCTTCTTGAAGGCTCCTATATCGATAGTTTTGAGGCCAGATATTGAGCAAAGAATGAAACTTACTCAATCCACAACATACTGATAATGTATTCAGCTTCTAGTGAGTTTGGGCAATAAGACCGTAATTTTAATAAGTCTTTCATACTAATGATGCATGATATGCCAGTATCTAGAGGCCACGTATGTGATGTTGTATGAAGAAAGATCAAATGGGTTCCTAACAACTTGATTATTTCCACAGACTGTACAAAGGGGTGCTCAAAATCAGCTTGATATTTCTGTTGTATAGCGAGCAATAATTATTCCCCTTATTATATTGTAACAACAGTTAACAAAGAATTAGATTTATTAACCTGACCGGCACTCCACCGTTATCAACATTTCACAAAAATATATTCCATTATGGAATCCGAATAACCTGTCTTTGTGAAGGGCTGAATTACGAAGTGCTTTTAGGGTGCTTATCAAATGTTATTTGTTAACTTTCTCCGCGAAAGTAAATTTTTTAATGTGCGATTCACTGATTCTTAAGAGTTATTAGGAGCCACTCATACAGAAGACTTATTTCGAACTTCAGAGCCACTCTGAAAATGCATGTATCTATGGTGAGAGCTAAAGAATATGCAGTCACTGCAGTGAAAAAAATCAGCGAGGAAAAGATACCTCATGATTTCTGTTGAAAGAACGATGTACTTAGCGGTGCACTATTGTTTTCGCAAGCTCCGATCCTGTCCTAGGATTGATGATGTTTGAGCCAAATCTTAGGCTCTCCAATGAGCTAATGTTAAACTGGATAACTGCGACAGCAGACCGAGGAAAAAGCTGTATTTTATGCGTTCATTTAGAAGACAGACGATCATTTTGAACTTTGATTGGGCGCAAAATGCACAATTCTCATTCGATGCAGATTAAAATTTCTGTTATTCTACGGGGTGATACGACTCCGGATAAATTTAAAAGAATCATAAAATCGCCTATCTCAACAATGTAGTGACCGTTAAAACCAACTGCTGTGCACGCGAAAATAAAATAAAAAATCTACTGATTGTTTGCCAAGCCCTTCTGAAACGAACTACTTAGCATGCGCTTCAACTAGAAATCTGGAACATCAATGAATACCAACGGTAGTAGGCTGAGTAACAAATATTTCAGAAAAATGGTAGAATGGGCTAATTAAAAGTTGCATTAGTTCTGATTGTAGTTTGACAGTTGAAATCGGTACAGGAATCAGTAATGATCAAGTTGCGTTTGCTAATCTGTGGCAAATTGGTGTATCGCTGAATCTCAAGGGACGTGTGTATCAAGCTACAGTGCGAGCTGTTTTTTGTCTGGCTGATACTTAGCCTGTCCAAGTAGTGGAGACGTCTTCAGATGTTCGAAAATCGTTGTCTCAAAACCATAGTTCCTGTGGCTCGGTATCGGTGAAAACGCAATACGAACTTCCATTAAAGCATGTGTTCAGAACCAGAAACTGCACTGGTTAAGCCATCTATTGCGCATACCGAACCATCATTTGCCAAAGAGAGTGTTGTATTTTTTCCCAGTTCACAGTAACGGAAGCAAGGTGGTGACAAGCTCTTGACCTGACAGAAGGGTGTGAAAGATATTACGAAACTCTTGGGTGTTGTCGGTGCTACTCGCCCACCAGGATGGGGACCGCTTGAACCTCAATTAGCCCTGTTAGAGACGTTGCAAGATAAGGCTACTAGTCGAGGTCCATGGCGTTTATGTTGTCAATTTCTATCCAGATTACCTGAATGAGTGTTTGGAGATGTAGGCACCTCGAACTGATTGCGGTAAGGTAGCACTAAGTCCCTCTCCCTCTCATCTTTATTCTTTTATTCACAGTGTACCTTTCAAATAAATCATGGTTGTATGGCAGAAAAGCATCACCGTTGAATACTGATGCCATGCTGCCCATGATGATGATGATTAAAACAAGTAGCCGTTGGTAAATACCCAAATATGCAATAAAACAAGTGAAACTTGAAAATAAGTGGCTCTCTTGAAACATATGAAAACTGAAACCAGTTGAGGTGCAAAAAATCCATTTCTCCTAGTCCTTTGGATAATATGACTCGTGTTCACATATAAGGCCTTCATTTGTCAGTGGGGGCTTCCATGTCCTGTCGCAGGTGTGATATACAAACCGGGGAAAGGAGATTTTGGCGAGATCTGATCCCGTGTTACTTTTGCTTTCTAAAAACATGCCAAGAAAATTGCGTGGCGGAAGCCGAATGGTCCTTTGATGGTTGGGCTCTTCCAGTTGCAATAAGTCTCTTATGCTCTTCGTGATAATCTGTGGGGGAGTAACAGTGATTTCCGCAATTCTACCTGAATGTGTTCAAACTTCGTTATTCCCATTTGGGGCAGTGCTGATGCCTGCAGCTGAATCAGCTTTTTTCCATCAATAAAGTTTTCTGACATGCAGTCCTGGAATTTGCAGTGGTGTAAACCAACCTAAAGATTTGAAATTTACTTTGTAGTACGGGAATCCCAGGTCAGAAATCCATTGGCACACATTGTCCATAGTCCAGGTGCTTGCGTTTGGGATTGTTGTTGAAAGACAAACGTCATATATGTGGCTCAGGTCGCCCATTTTTCTTGAAATGGGATATGCTTCAGAGACAAATCTGCAATTTCAAAAAGTAAACAGTTGCACAGAAAACTCATCCATCAAATAGTACGTACTTGTGTGGCATGGTGTCTGTGGCTAGGTCAATTTTTCATTGTATACGCTGTATGCACACCAGAATGTTGGTGATTGTACCACAGTGAGTTTCTTTAATGCACGCTCTTCTCCGCATTTTCATGTCTGAGTGTTTTCATAGCACGACTTCACACCTGTGAAATTTATGCTGCCCCTCTCCCAATTCGCCCTAAGTTTACCATAGAAATTATTAAGGTTGTATAAGTTATTATTCTACAAAGAGGCAATATTAACGATTTTTGGTTATATTCAGCCTTCCAGAATGATATTTGTATACTATTATTGATTCCTGTCGCTTTCTAGATGAGGTACTGGCAGATTGATTAGTTTGTACCACTGTCGAGTTTATGGGTACTTGCGTTCACAGGAAATTTCTATAATGCAAACACAGTATACATACACAGCACCAGTTAAACTGTTGATCATAATGGTAGATCCATGCCACAGTTAAGCTTTTCCTTGATATTTTTGTCCTACCTAACCATTATGCTATATAGAGCCCCTCAGAAATATGAACATTTGTCTCACCAAGCTAAAATGTGAGAGTCTCGGAGAACATATCATTTTTAAGCTGAACTACGGCGTATTTGAAAGAAAGTGAGTGGACGCATGGAGGACAAAAGTTCCTAATGATTTTTCTAAAGTCAGGCGTGCAAAAATAACGAAAAACTATCATTATGCTGAGATTCTGTGTTGTATAAGAGGTTTTGGCTTTCCCGGTCTAGGTGGCTCTCCGTTCCTAAAAGACCTTTTAGGAACAAGTCAGGAAGCTGTTCGATGTGTATTACTTGGAGTTGTGTCAACAACTGTGTAACACGTGTTTAGTCGTATTTTCGTTGCAATTTCATTTGGCTGACTTATCGATAGGAAATCAACGAAGGACTTCCTGGATACTGGTAACCCATTTCAGTTAAGATATTAAACATGGTCGATCCGAGGAAGGAGACTTCTGTATGGTACGTCTGTTTAAAATGCTGGCCATATATCTGTAGGAGAAGAACCTTCGGTTGAAAAGCAACTGGATGGTATGTCATAGAAACCAAAAGAGTTCTGAAATATAAACATGAAGTTTATCGAGTTCTATCCATCTCAAAAAAGAAACGAGGTCACCTATGGTTAAGTAAAGTATCCTCATATAAACAAGCTCCTACTAATTTAACGGGGCCCGAATTATTTCAAACTTGTGTAAACAACTGTGCTGTATAAAATCTTCTAAAAAAATTCCTCCAGAATAGCTAGATTTCTAAGTTTAATCAACCTGTAAACATTGACACATCATCTCATCATGATGACAGTGTTGACAATACCAATAATAACATTCATTTTCCTAAGTCTATTGTGCCAAAAGTAGTGGTGGTTTAGTTTCCATATGACTCAACGAAAATCAGTTTCACTAGATCCATAGGTGTTCCGTTAAATTTTGTGTTCACTTGCGTAGAAATCTTAGGTGATTTTTAGTTTGTGCAAAATAAAAAGCCTTTGTTGCCTACCGGAAATAACCTGGCCAAAGTCTCAACGTATGTGCCTTGTAAATTAAAACAATTAGCAGATGCATGTGCATGAGAGGAGACATGCTAGGGAATTACCGCGGATAAGCTCTCCCGGAAAGTTCTACACTGAAAAGCAAGTATGAGGTGACGATACGAAACTTTGATTAAGATATAATGAAAAGAAAAACGGGGTTATAAAAAAGAGGAGAACAGTGATCCAGCGGAGACGTCCATTCCTGTCCTCAAGCTCGGATGATAACTGTGTTTAGTTATTATAGAGGAGAGTATTTACAAGCCTAAAGAACAGGCTCACTTGTGCTCCACATGGTCGAGTGTGACTATCCGAGACGGTATATATTCTAAGGGAACAGTTAACGTCTCATCAGAAAACAACAAGCAGACAAGTAAAGTTATCCATTTTTCCTGTTTAATCAAGCAAATGTTAGTAACGGTCACTGGTGTATGCTAAGTACCTCAACGGTTCCGAAAAGGTTAGAAGCTCAAAACGGATTGTGAAAAAAACTAAGATTATGGTGTACGGGAGTTTTTCAGTATAAATAGAAAATAACATGGTCGTCCATGGGTAACACTCTTTTGGTGCCTAGCTGCTATTCTACCCGATGAAAGTACGAGGGCTAAGATGCTGATGAGTGACCCGAGCCTAGACAGGCGCAATTCAAAGTAAAACAAAGTAGTATGCTCGATTTGGTCAAAATATTTGCTGAAGTCTACGAGAACAACATACGTAAACATATGTGGACAACAAACCTTCTAGCCTACTCTCCTTTAGTCTTCAGCTGGTTGGTGGCACTATCGCCAACCGTGTTTTTGCTTGATAAAATACTGCGAGCTGAGTATCATCCTCACTTTCCACTCGAATCTCGAAGTTAGGCAACTTGCTTGATAGTCACCACTGATAGAGTGACTATACAAACTAGCTTTGATATAAAATGAAGCACAAATTTCCTCCTCCGAGTGCAAATCCGGTGCACCTGAAAATAGTTTCCACGCTGGATACCGTCCCCATAGAAACGCCTTTACACTGTAACCACCTCTCCGTAGACCTCCCTTTGTCTCATCGAAATTAGTGAACAAAACCCATAAAGTATGGTTTTAAGCAGTCTGAAAGTAACAAGCTTGACCATTTTGCTGAAGTCGTAAGTACTACCTGCCGCTTTCACATAATCGCTGTGCCATTCGCCATTTCTGACCATGAATCTACCAGCCTGAAAACAATTAGTTCATCTGTAGCACTATTTTGATGCGTAAGTGCCATTGTTTTTGCCCCCGTATTCGTTACTTTGGTCCTTGTGCACTGCTAGTATTTGATGTGCCAGATTTTTAGGGGAGCCCTACAACAAGACATAACCGGCCTTATTCTAAGTGAGTAAGTTATAGTTTGTCCTAAATATTCTATAGAGCATTTGCAGCGGAATAACTCAATGCTGCAGAAACCGCATATGAAATTTGACGCTTTAAATCTACAAGCAATTCGGAACCAAATAATATTATTTGGTTATTGAACAGTTATTTAACCGAACTATAACCGAAAAAACACGGTTATTTGACAGTTATTTAACCGAGCAATAACCGGAAATCTCGGTTATTTGACGGTTAACTTGGTGCAAATAACCATCTGGTAACCATAAAAGGTGGTTATTTGGCGGTTATATAACCGTCGTATAACCGGAAAACTCGGTTATTTTGGACTGCGTGTGCTGGTAGGGATGATCTTTCTCATCGTTGTCATTAAAGGATGAATCGGACAGGTACGAAGAAGGTGGCCCTTGGTATTCACTCTCGATGACTGTCGGTCTGAGTCACGATAATGGATTTCAAAAAGGTACAAATGTGACTCGCGTAGGTCTCCAGCGAGGTATGATAGCATATAACGAACACACACGCACATTGGCGTCAAGACTCGCTATACTTCCTTATTAGTGGAGCTGGTCTATGGTTTTATTTGTTAGTAGTTCATTGTTATTTTATCCTCCTTTACTTTAAACAAGTGATTGGATGAGCATTCACAACTATTTTCTTTCATTCCAGACGCGTTAACCAGAAAGCTTTCCAACACAAATGTAAGAAACATCAAGAGAATCGTTGATCGCAGGCTAGAAAACAAAAGACAAAAAGTTTGGAACGCCTTAAGGCTACCCAGAATTACAGATGAAATGATGTTCATTAGATTTTTTCTATCTCATTTATATATACACTTGAAACCCTTTGCTTATATCCAGGGAGGTCAAATGCTGAGAACGTGTGAGGTTAGTTAGGTCATCACGCCATGGTAGCATAATGTTTAGAAAGTTAGCGAATTGTACCGGGGAAGAAAAAAATCATATAATGGACTGAATTCGCGAGCCGGAGGATTTTTTGCTAGGTCCGAACTAGTTGCATAAATTCCGGAATTTCGGAATTTCCGCACTATTTCTGCACCCAGATGGGGGGAGAACGTCCTATGTGTTTCAATCATCGGCAGAAAACACAATTTACGAGGCACTACATTACATGCATCGGCTTCGAATAGCTAAAGCATTTTTCATCATCGACAGCCTTTGCGAAAATCCACACAAAATACTTCCGTAAGTTGCACCTGTTTTTTTAAAACCAGCCTGGGTCAAACGAACATACGGCAATTCTCTTTGGCCGTGCGCCGTTCACATTGTCTCGAACGTTACTCATACCTTCTTGATGTTCAGCTGCTCGAATTTTACGTACCTGTACTATATTCGTACCATGTACTATATTCGGATTGTATGCAACGCAGTGGTAATAACGTCGCAAAATTCAACCACCTCTGGCAACTTGTGGTCATGTGGTTACTAGACTGTTTCGGAGAGACAGAGGTCCGTCTCTCAGCACCGCAAATGTGCTCGGTTTGAAGGAAATGATCTCCCCCTACGATTTCGACATTTACCGCGTTAAATCTTGCGTCACCACATGCTCACTCATACCGATGATCGCAGTCGCTCACCACTTTATGAGCCACTTAAGTGGCTCACCTAACTTACCATATCACTATTACCACAACTTTTCGACTTTTCATTTTTGTGACTTATGAGAAGTTTATTAAAGGCTCCGTAAGGTTTTAATAAATAGAACCTTAATTTGGTTTATTTGCACTGCAACAGCGTTTTCAAGGGTTTGTTCCAGTCGCTTTCCGTCTTTGCCCAAGGTGTAAGGCTTTTTTAAATATAATCCTCGGCGACTTACACGGTCTCTACATGCATGTGATGGTGTTGTTGAGACAAATCAGTGATACCTAAAGCGCCATTCAGCGACTACTTATAACTATACAGTCGAACATGAGGTATTTATCGCGCAGGTCCAATTTGTATGGGACGAACTGACGATAAATTGTATCAAAGTGTGTGGAAATAGCATCAGCTCCTAAGT